ATACTAATATGTTTGAAGACATGTCATATTTCAGTTACTTTTCTTACACCTGAGAGGTCTTCTGCCTTTTTAAATAAGCAGTGCGGGTTTTGTGTAATGAGTCTTGAAAATGTGGTCCTGAAGATTTTGTGGTGGCATCTTGAAACCTGTAATACAATAGTATAAAAATTCAGATTGACACTGTAGTTCTATTTTGAAAATAACTGGTTTAATAACTGGTCATTGTGCTGAAAGTTCAGAGTTGGAAAGGGGCTATTGTACAAATAAAAGATTTTTGTATAAAAAGTCCCATATCAGCCATGGTAGATACAGGAATTAGAGATTATTTGATGTTGACAATATGTTTGTCTATTCATTTAGCAAATAGCAGTGTTTTCTGTATATATAATGATAACAGTGTTTCTCCATTTTGATCCTGTTTTCCACAATATTAAAAAACTGTACAAGTACTCAGGTCTTAACCTTCCAGTCTTGCAGCTTCAATACAGACTTGGGATATCTTTTTAATATTACCATTGTGAACACTTCTGTAAGAAAGAAAAATCTGTAAAATAATGAATGTTGTTGCCACATTCTTGTTATCTGTTCTCTTTATTTCCATATTCCTTTAAAGGCATGTAAAGGCTGATTATGTCTCAGGAACGTCTAAGTAGTTGCTAATGTGGACAATTAAATATAGACCCAGTTTTTACTTCATATTCTGAAATTTAAAAAAAAAAGCAAACGGAAGATAAATAAATGTATTAAATAATAATTTTAGGTCCTAGCATGTTCCAAGTATTAATAGTCATCCTCTTGGGACATTTTTTCCTGAAGGAAATTGTTCGTGTTCTTGCTGTTGTGAAAAGGATAAGGTTATCCTTGTTTTCTAATGATGTCTCATCAGGCAGGATTTCCTGAAAGTAGAAGGAAAAGATGCCCTCTTTCTGTTGGAGTATCCTGATGCTTTACTTACAGTATAGTAAAATAACTACTCCAGTCAGCAACCAAGCATGTCCTGTCAAGTAATGAGCCATAACTTCTTATTCTTAAACCTGTTTATGGGTGCTTTTCTGACTGCTGTTTAAAACTGAGCCCTCTAGGCACAATGTCTGTCCAAAACATCCTTGAGAAGTAAGTTCCCTTTTACTTCCTGTAATCAGACCTGATCAAATAATGTTTCCACCAAGGATTTTATATGTTAGTGAAAAATCCCAAGAAAATTAAAGGGTGGAAAGAAAGAGTGGAAAACCTATGCCCTGGAATTTGGGGAGGGGGGGAATTATTCTTTGAAAGATTAAAGATGTAGTGTCTTAAAGTACAGGTAGTCCTCATAATCCAACTACAAAAGGGACTGGAATTTAGGTCACTAAGCGATTTGGTCATTAAGCAAATCACGTAATCATTAAGCGAATCCATTGTCATTAAACGAATCCAACTTCTCCAATAAAATTGTGATTTGCTTAACAATCATGGTCATTTGCTTAATGACTGTCATAAAAAAGGTCGCAAATCACATTCACGTGACCGCAGGGGTTGTAAAGCACTTTTCCCAAGGCCGTCATAACTCTGGACCATCGCTAAACAAATGGTCCTTAAGTGAGGACTACCTGTAGTATTTCCCTACCAAGCATCCATGAAAGATACTCTCTGGAAATTCTTGGAATTGCAATCCAGTAGGGTACCTTTCTGCAGCTTTGATGAAACTCCATCCCTTCCTAATATTTATATTAACAATGTAACACAACTCTAATTTCAGTTGTATGATTATTTGTTGCATTTACATGCTGGTCATTCCTTCAGAAGCTCGACTATATACTTAGTACCCTCCTCCAATATTTCCCTCGTAGTCGCTTGGCAAATAGGCTAATGAGAAATAATAACTGATCCAAAATTATCCAATGAAGTACATGGCTGAAAGGATTCTTAATTTAGATCTCCTCAGACTAAGTCCAACATTAAAGCTACTATACCACTCAATTCTTTAGAAAATAATCATTCTAAATTCATTCAGCTATTTTTTCCACCACTTTTGTACATAATAAATCCTTACATTCTTAGAGCAGTCTGATGTAACATATTTGCATCTGCAAATGAATTTCATTCTTTGATAGATTTTTTTCTCTCTCAAAACAGGAAAGTGAAGATGGCATAGAAGGAGATGGTAAGTGGTAGTACTTTTAATTGTAGTGATTAGTGCTAGAAATACAAAATAATTGCTTAGCAATGTTTTTAAAATTATAATATTTGTTGCAAAAAGAGGTATTTCTTATCCTGCCCCCTTCATTTTTGGTATTAAGGCTTTTTAGTGTAGTTTAATATTTCTGTTGTTAGCAGTGGAACCAGTTTATGATTAATTTACCAGGGCATAGATTTTATTCCACAGTGCTGTTTGGGTACTGCAGCAGGCTGCAGTTCTGGAACTTCAAGATGGTTACACTGCAATAATATAATTGTAAAGGACATGGATCACTGAGGCTAGAGTTTCCCAGTCCAGACACCAGCTGCAGCTTGGCATAAATGTTCTTGTCTCTAAAGCCAGTGTGCCTCTACTGTCATATTGGAATTAAGGAGAGCCCCTAAGATATACACCTGCTCTTTTGGTAGAACTACTATCTCATCTAAAATAGGACACCTTAATTTCTGGGCCTGAGAACTACCTGTCAGTATATCCTTCCATCCTGTCTGGATTCAGCTTGTAGTTTCTCATTCACTCCAACACTGCATCCAGTTAGCTCTCAAGCATCTTGCAGTCTGTCCTGATTCTGGTAGAAAAGAAAGATGAAGTTGAATGTTATTAGCATACTGATGACACTGTACTCCAAATTTCTGGATAAATGTCCCCACGTGAACAGCAGCAGCAGAAGAATGGAATCCTGTGAGATTCCCATCACAAGCTTCATGGAAACTCTCCCACTGCCACTTTAGATAGTTCTGTTGGCAGGAATGGAACCATCATAACATTGTGGCTCCAGTTCCTAACCCACTGAGCCACTCCAGTAATATCCATGATCAGTGGTGTCAAAGGCCACTGAGAAATTCAGAAGAATCAATACAACATCGCTCCAACTGTCAGTTGGTAAAATAATTTATCAGGGCAGCCAAGGGCCTTTCTGGGCTGTCTCCAGACCTGAAGTCATACTGAAATGCATCTACATAATGCTCAGTGACAATAGTGCCAACAGCCCTTCTGATTTTCTCAGATTCCATTAATCACTGGACTATTTTAATTGGCTCCTGGCTCTTGTAATGATGATCAGCCACATCCAGGTCAGATCCTGCTAAAACGTGATCCATGTATGACAGGTTACCTGTTCACTTCCAATATGGCCAACTTTGAAAACACAAATTGAGGGTATGTTCTATGATATGTCCTGGATTTATGTTTTAAGAAAGCTGCATAGTTGTGTTTCGTGCCCAGTAAGTTCTAAGCATACTTAAATTGACAGCTTCAGCATGAATATTGAAATCTTCCAGGATAACTGTCATGGATTCTCCAAGACCAGCCACTAGCTCAGGCAAGAAAGAGTTGGGTAGCTGGGTAAGGAGTATACCAAAATGACTCCTATCTCTACAGCCCTAGTACAAATCCTTGCAACCAATTGCCAGACAGATTGGTTTTCTGTTAAGACAGATAGAATTGCAGTAGGGGAATATATTTTCTCCCCACCTCCCATCCCATATAATCTTTTCTGGTGATGTGCCAAAAACTCTGCCAGGTACAGCTGAGTCATATCTGCCTCTTCTCCCTAGCCCATTTAACAAGGTCTCAAACATACAAACTAGACAGCCTTTTCATTCATGACCACATCATGAATGAGTGCTGACTTGTTCTGAACCTATCTCACATTCACTAACAATACCACAAGGTGAGAAAAGAAACTGGTGCTTCCCCTACATTTAGCTCTTGGTAAGTTGACTGTTAGTATTAGTAATCTGTAATAGTATTATTGATTGGGAAATGAAGCCCCATTGTCTTATAAAAACTCAGGACTAGAATTCTAATTTAAAGAGCAGTTTGGGGAGTTTAAAAGTTCATGAAATGAGAGCAAAAATACATGTGCTACTGCAGACATTCCAGCAACTACATATAGGTGTTACAATGAAGGGATTTGTATACATGGAAATATTTAATTGATATAGGAGGACAAAAGTATTTCATGGATAAGGTTATTTTTTTAAGGGAGGGAGAAACATAAGTGTTCTGGAGGCATACTGGACAGCACGGTAGAAAAAGAGAATAATTAAGGGAGCAGGAGATCAGTGGATAGTGGTTATGGAAGGATTAAGATTATAAAAGATCGTGGATGGTGAAGACCAACATTTTGCACATAAGGACAATGAGCTTAGAATGGATTCAAGACCAAACAGGAAACAAGTGTAAGGATTTGTGAAGAGATGGCCCCATGGGAAGGATGGACAATTTAGTGCATAGTTCTTGGAAGAAGATTTAATGTCAAAAGAAAAAAAAAGGATGCATTAGTCAACAAATTAGTGGTATAGTTTTTCTTGAAATGGATGGAGAAGAGCAACATTTTGTATTTGCAGTGTTTTACAGAATAAAATGTGTATGCCTTGTGACAGATGGAATATTCAAAGCAAGGAATATTAGACGGATGAATCAAAGATAAAGCAAGATTTTATATGTGAGCACAAGAATGGGTGGTGCAGTTGTCAGATGGTATAGAGGGTATGAGTGAAAGGCTTGAGAGAAAATTTGAGAAATTAAGCCTTGAAAACATTGAATTTCAAAAGATGCTTTTAACCTCAAACAACTCTTTATTTTTAGCTGTACTCTCTGACTATGAAAGTGCTGAGGACTCTGAGGTGAGTTGAGGTCATACGCTAGTCATTTTATAAGGCATATGAATATGTAACATAGCCATTTATTCGATTTTCTTTTAACTCAAGCACCTGCTGGGTAGATTTGGAGACTGGGCTCAGTAAGTGCCATTAGACAAATCAGGGCATGAAATATTTACTTCCTTATCATGGAAGGCAGTTCAGTTCAGTTCTTTTTTTTTTTCACACTAGTATATTTTTGTCTACTTTCACAGCATTTTTTTTTTTTTCTTGCACATGTAAGGGCTAGAAATTTATGGTTTGGATGTATGTTTTGTTTCTGCATATATTACAAATGTTATTAAATTGCACCCAGTATAACATACAATCTGTGCATGGTAAGAATAGATGAAATATCTGTTATTCTCCAGTCCCACTAAAGTGAATCAAATTGGATGTTTGTTTCAGGCTGAGGAGGGAGAATACAGTGAAGAGGAAACAACTAAAGTGGACTTAAAGCGGGACAGAAATGACACTGAATTGAGAACAAAAGCAGATAAAGGGGATGAGAAACCAGAATCAAAAGGCACAGTCGCAGGTGAAAGGCAGAGTGGGGATGGGCAGGTATGTTTTGCTGCATTTTGAGCTTAAGTACTAATTAACCTAGAATTTAAAATATGTAGTTGTGTCGTTCAAGAAAGCATTATGGTCATAGGATTTTAAAAAAAAACTTCATTTTTTAAGACATCACATTTCAATACATGTTTTTTCTCTTAAGCCTGTATTATTTTTGCAGTTGAAGTATGTTCCTGCATTTTTTCTGTGCATTCTATAGCAAGCAGTTTTGTAAGAATTTTATAAGCAATATTTTGCGTTTCTGATTTTTGCAGCTGAAGAGAAAAGTCCTATCTTGGCTTAGTCTAGCAGCAGTAAAACTAAGAAACAATAATGAATCAGTATATTATAACTGAAATTCTCCATTATTTTTATCATTCATTATCTTTAACCATTATTTTTCATTTTTATTCAACAGAACTTTTGTCATTTTTTACCAGTTTATACTATAATTCTTGTTTTATTTATAATTAAAGGAATAATATACAGGTAGTCCTCACTTAATGACCATTTGTTCAGCGACCGTTTGAAGTTATAATGGCACTGAACGAATGGTACCTATGCTTGGTCCCCAAAGTTACGTGCAGTGCCCCCATGGTCATGTGACCAAAATTCAGGCACTTATGTCCACAGGGCCACTCAACTCCCCCCACCCACCTATCTTTGCCCTTTTGGCCTTTTACAGTGGCACTCCTTGGCGATGGTGGCAATGTCAGCGGAGCTGGGGCTGAAGTAGAGGCCCAGGGCCTTCAGCAGTCCACTGCCACCCCTAGGCCCCTACTTCAGCCCCAGCACTGCCACTGTTGCTGAGGAGTGCCACCTCAGGCCCTGTGCCATCCCAGCATCCCAGCACAAAGCCCCAGTTGCCCCCACTGCCCTGCACTCCACTGATGCTGCCGCGCCTAGAAGCCTTCTGAAGCATTGTGAGAACGGCATGCACAATTTGGAGAATGGCATGTGCGGCTTTGGGAAGAAGGCCTGGTACGGCCAGCAGCTGCCTTGCATGGAGCCAGGCTGGGTTTGCCTCATCAGTGGGAGGAAGAAGATGGCGAAGGTCAGCTGGGTGTGGCAGGGCTAGCAGAGCACAGGGTAGTGGGCGCAGCTGGGGCTTTGTGCTGTGGTGCTGGGGTAGCTAGCTGCAGCACGGGGCTTGAGGCGGCACTCCTTGACATTAGGGCAGTGCTGGTGCTGAAGTAGAGGCCCAGGAGTGGTGGTGGCTGGCTGAGACTGCTGAAGGCCCTGGGCCTCTACTTCAGCGCCAGCACTGCCACCACCGCCAAGGACTGCCACTGTGCAGGGCAGCCAAAAGGGAAGAGATGGGAAGATGGGCAGGGGGAGTTCAAGAGGAGGCAGTCCCTTACCAAGGCTCAGGGCTAGGAGGAACCAAGCCAGGAATGGCTTGGATCAGGGTGGGTCTCACCTAGCAACTGGTAGGATTTGGTTAACTATGGCAATGGGGACTGCCAGGATTTCCATTGCTAAGCGATGCGGTCATGTGACGTCGCACTTTACAACCACATTGCTTAGCAACAGAAATTGTGGTCCCAATTACCATTGCTAACTGAGGACTACCTGTATTGCCTCAACTCCATACTGAAACAGTTTTCACTAATATCTACAGTACATGGAGAGGTGTACAGATTTTTAAAGAGGATTTATTGCAATTGACTACACATATTATTTCTCATTTCATCATTTATATCCTTGCTTATATTCTCATTCTGTAATGCAGTATTGAAATATGGCCTCAGTTATTGATTTGACTTTATAAATCAGATACTCATGTTTTACACAGGTGGTAATTATGTTGATTTTTTCCATTATTTTAGTGCTTTCAAAGACACATTTTAATACATTTGTGGTGATTGATTTATATTTGAAAGTAGTCTCCACTCACCTATCTACCCAGAACACATAATCAAGCACTTGATCAATCACATTTTTAGTAAAAAAAACCTGGTTTCTGGGATATTGGTGGTGGGTTTTTAACAGGTCAATGAGTATTTGATTTCTTTCTTTTTAGGAAAGCACTGAACAAGTTGAAAATAAGGTTGGTAAAAAACTTCCTAAGCACCTAGATGATGATGAAGACCGGAAGAACCCAGCATACATACCTCGTAAAGGTCTCTTCTTTGAGCATGACCTCCGTGGACAGACTCAGGAAGAGGAAGTCCGGTAGGTGATAGGAATAGCAGGCAGCAATTGTAGAAAGAATTCATGGGTGGGACATTTTACTTGAAGGCATAACTGGCTGTTAACAGAAAAAGATATACAAGGCAGTAAAGAGGACTATATTTTAGCTTCTCAATTTTGTCTCATTCTGTTGGTTATATAGTAAAATAATGAAGTTGAAGGAAGGTATGGAACCCATTCTCAGTGTTTTAGTGGTTATTGGATGATTGATTGACTTTGGGCAGCCATCAATAGGAGAGTAGAGTTCTCATAAAGCATTATTTTACACAAACAACTATTTCCTTTGTCTCTTATGACAAAGCCTTCCCATATGAGGTATTTTTTTTCCTGAGAAGCCTAGTGACCTTTCAGAAATCTATGAAGACTTTTTTTAAAAAATTGCCAAGCTTTTGGTTTGGAACTGAACTTCCCCTTGCAGAATCATAATTTCTTTTAATGGCTCTGGCTTTAGTTCATTGTTATATCAATGGTATGGAGTCCTTTGGTCTCTCTGTGTTGCTCCCAAGGCAAGGTAGCAATTAATACATTCTTATCGTTTTTCTTTATCTTGATACGCAAGACCTAAGGGTCGTCAGCGTAAGTTGTGGAAAGATGAGGGACGGTGGGAACATGACAAGTTTCGAGAAGATGAGCAAGCACCAAAAACCAGACAAGAACTGATTGCTCTTTATGGATACGATATCCGCTCTGCACACAACCCTGATGACATCAAGCCCAGGAGGGTGCGCAAACCAAGGTGAATTTGTAAGAATATGGTTATGTGTACTTTTTATGGAATAATATTGTGGGGCTTGAATTTTTTTCCTGACCTTGACAGAGGAACAATTGGGATGAAGAAAGCATAAAATACTCATTTCTGATTGATAGCATCTCCTCTTCATTCAGATTTGGGAGTCCACCACAAAGAGAATCCAATTGGTCCAGTGAACGGCCAAATAAGCCACCACGACACCAGAGTCTAGACAGTACTTCTGTGGCACCTCGGACATTCATTAATCGAAACTCAGCGGGGACAGGACGAATGGCTACTCCAAGGGCTTTCCCCAAACCCAGTGGCTATAAAGAAACTCGCCCAAGCTATCGAGCTGTGGATGTAAATAGTCAACATGCACCTCGCTTCAATGAACAGTCAAAGCCTGAGAGCGGTTACCGGGCCAGACGATCAGATCCAATCCCAGCACGGGAGCCTTCTCCAAAGTCTGAGATGCCACATATTCAAAACAGCCCTGTTAAAAAAGAAGAAGTTGTTTTGGAAAATCAAACTCCACCTGCAGATGTTCTACAGACACAACCAGATAGGCCTGTGGAAAAAAAATCCTATTCCCGGGCAAGGAGGAGCCGAAACAAAGCAGGCGAGACAGGAAAATTGGCAGATGAAGTTCCACCTCCATCAGGGTTGATACCAGCACCATTAAAAACTGCTGATATTATACCATCCCCTTCTCCAGCAAAGACTGGTAATTGGGAGGTGCCTGTTGAGGCAAATCTGGATGGTATTGAGCAAGACATGACTCAGTTGAATATAACAGAACAAAACTGGAATCAAGGGCAACCCCAGTTCATACAACCACAGGGTAAGTGGCTCAGTGATACGCTAAAGCAAAGAGAAATTAAGTTTGTCCACAGAATATATAATCTATTCCTACAGAGCATTTCAGGAAAAAATGTTAAGTCAAAAACAGATGAAACATCCTAGAGAACTACAGTCAAATATTTGACTGCTTATTGCTGATTTTACCTCCTCCTCTGTTGGGGGAGGGGGCGCTTTCTGTCTGCCACTCAGGGTCTTAAGGTCAAGCCAGTGGCAACCAGAGTTTCTTAGTGTCAGAGAGAGGTGGATAATATAGGCAGGCTCCTTTCTGCCTTCCTTCCATCTCTGTGATAATCTTAGCCACTTACCACCAAGAACTTTGGTACCCTCACAAAATGTTTATTAATTACAGTATAATCCTGAGAGGTGGATGCATTCTGTGGCTAACAATGTTATTCGGCAAGAACTCAGCCCTGTGTGCCTTTGTTCTAACTTGAAGCCCAAGAAGAGAGCACGTTTAGTCAGTTCTGGTTGGGGTGGATTTAGGCCAGCTTTGTAACAAAGTCAGTGCCGCTAGCTGTGAAGGCTTCACGTTCTGTGGCATTTAAATGCTGCCTCTCCCCCAGGAGCTCAGAGTGGCATGTTTAATACTCCCTCTCCAATCCAGTAAGGTAAGCTAAATTGAGAAATAATGACCTAGACTCTCTCAGAAAGCTTGTGAGCCTGAATCTTGATTTTTCCCATTCAGGTTCAACACTCTTACCTTGGGATAGGCAAACTGGTGAACATTTATAATTTTGGGAGCATTTTTGGGTGATGTAACAAAGTGACTGCCATAGGAGGAGGCTTGCATATTCACAAAATATCTATCATAGTAGATGTGGTGTAGCCTTGAACTTTGTTTAGAGATGTGCCCACTTGCTTAGACCAATTACAGTAGGGATGGCATCATTACCTATTTGCCAATTTGGGTGTTTTGCCTCTATTATGGCAACAGTATTTTGAGCATCCACAAAATACTAGATTATTAGTGTTTCTTCCTCCAGTTTTAAAATCACACTAATCAGCCTCCTTTGTAATATATTCAGCATATAGATTGAATAAATAAAAAGAGAATGTACAGCCCTTTGCTGACTTGAAACTAATTTTTGCCATGTTCTGCCTGGTCTGTGGCTTCGTGTCTTGTTTATAGTTTTGCATGAGGACAATTAAGTGTTCCGGGGATCCCATTTTCCTGAGGACATTCAACAGCTTGATAGGATCAACACAATTAAAGGCCTTTCTGTAGTCAGTGAAGCACATATTAACACCTTTTTCTTTGGCCTTGTCAATTATCCAGCATGTATCAGCAGTAATGTCTCTTGTTCCTTGGTCTTTTCTAAAACCAGCTTGAACATTTCTTTCCATGTAGGGCTTTATCTCTAGCACTGGATGATCCTAAGCATTATTTTTGCTAGCATGTGAAATTAAGGATATTGTAAAATAGTTTGCACACTCTGTTAAGTCTCCTTTCTTTGGTATTGGTATGTAGACTGACCTCTTCCTATCACTTCACTACTGTTATTTTCCAGATTTGCTGGAATAGTTTGGTTTAAACTTTTACTGAGTCTTCTTCTGGTGCTTACCATATTTCTATAGATATTCCATCAATTCCTGTAGCCTTCCAACTTAGTAATGACCAGAGTGCTGATCCAAGTTCATCTTCTAGTACCTAAGGCTCTTCTAAACAAAAAATATCTTCTAAGGTGTCTTGGATGTTAACATCCCTATTGTACAAAATTTCATTATATTCCTTCTATCTTTGATCTCCTTTGAATCAGTTACTGTCTGTCCATTGGCATCCTTTAGCATATCAATTTGAGGTTGGAATCTCCTTCTGAGTTCAGAGGACTTTTGGAAGGCTTTCCTTGTTTTTCCATGTCTGTTTCCATCATCAGTGTCTTTACAGATGTTGTTGTAATACTGCTTCTAGTCTCTTCTAACAGCTTTCTGAAATACTTTGGTAAGTTCCTTTCTGAGATCTTTGACTCTCTTGGCTTTGGCTTCCCTTCTTGGCAATTTCCACGGTCTGTTCCGACATCCAGTTTGGTTTCTTCTGTTTTTTTGGTCTTTGGCTGTCTCTTTTCACATTCATCTATACATTAACAACTTCTTTGATTTCATTCCACATTCCTGTGGTTCCCTATTAATGTGGTTCAGTACTTCAAAGGAATTTCTGATATTCTCCTTGAAAATGGTGGTTATACGTTCCAGATCATATTGTAGAAACCGGTTGGCTTTGTTGTTCCACTTTAGCTTGACTTGGAACTTACATATGAACACAGTTCGTAATCTGTTCCAAATCTTTGCTATTATAACTGGCCATATCTTTGGTGCTATAACTGAGCTCTTCCTCCCTATACCAATAATATAATCAATTTGATTACTGTGTGCTGTGGTAATGTTCATATATATAGACATGGTTTTGGTTGTTTGGAGATTGTGTTAGCAATGAAAGAAACTGATGAGTTGTTCTTCTACTTCATTTCCATTTCCTAGGTTATATAGTTCAACTACATTTTTCTCATTATTTCCAATTTTGGTATTTCAGTCTCCAACCAAAATTGACACATCTCACTTACATGTATTTCAATTTCAGATTGAACTTGACCATAAAACTTGTGAACCTCCTGCTGCTTCAGTGTTTTGATCATAAGCTTGGATAACCAAGTGCTGTATTTGCTATATCCTTCCTAACTATGAAAAAAATGCCATTCCTTTGTTTTTCATGTCCTGAGTTGTAAACAGTTTGATTTTCTGGCTGAAAGTATCCATTTCCATTCCATTTCTATTTGCTGATGCCTAAGATGTCAATGTGTAGTTGATACGTTTCCTATTTCCATTTTACGTTTCTTATGTTCCATGTTCCCACTGTAATTTTCTCTTTGTAGCTTCCAATTGTCTTTTCCTGTATGGCAATATCAGCAATTAGATGTCTGGAAGGCTTTAATCTAGGTGCATCATAAACATCATTAGTACGCCAGAAATCCTCAGCTCTTCCTCAGTAGCATATTAAGTGCCATCTGACCTGAGGGGCCCATCATCTGGCACCTGATCATTATTCTCTTTCTCTTATTCATCTGTGTGGTTTTCTTGGTGAAACACATGTGTGGTTTATCTTTGCCTTCTGCACTGTATGAAATTATGCCTTTGCTGTTATCACTTAAATTATCATCTGCCTCCACCATCTTTCTATATCACTACTGCCCAATTGGGTGCCTGCTTGTTTTAGCTGGGCAGCTGGGATGACTTGCATGCCTTGGATGACCCTGCTGGGAGTATATATTCTTGGCATACACTCCCAGCATTCTTTGCTCATCCCTCCTAAGGCTATCCCCTGCCATGAGGCAGCATAGGAGGACTTGGGGAGACCTGTCTCAAAGTTAGCAGGTAGTATTTGCCTTTTTCATTTTATCTAGAACTTCTCCAAACTTGTTTTCTGTTTTTAGAATTTTCTTAATATTAAGATAAAGCTGCGAAATAATTGGTGTTTCCCCCTCCCCCCTTCTCTTTCCTAACAGGTATGCCTAATCAGATGCACATTGGAGCAGCCCCACCCCCTCAGTTCAACAGAATAGAAGATATGGTAACATTCCATATGTCTTTCTTGCTTCTGAAATTATGGGTCTGATTGGCAACTAGAATGCAGACAGTAGTCGTAGAATTTCCCATGGAACAAATGAGAGAGTCTTCATCAAGCAGCAGGATCAGTTGGGCAACCGGAGTCTAGTGGGATACTGGCTGGAATCTATTACATTCATCTAGCCTTGGTTTGATGTTTTTGGGATGCAGAATAATGTACAGGACAGGATACCTATAGGACCCAATCCTCCTGTATACTGCAAGAGAGAAATATGAATGTACTATAAAAAAAAAAACAGCTAAACATTCCTGGGGAAAGCTTCACACAGGCTTCCTGTCTCTCCTCCAAAACGTTGAGCCTCCAGGAACTGGAAGATTAGAAATTAAAAAGAGAAGTATGTGGGGTTCATCTCTCAGGATTTTGCAAAAACTGTTTTTTTAAGGAGACAGAAGATGCAAACAAACCTTAATAATCAGAAGATCTTTTATGGCTAACAAAGCTCATCATGTAATAAAAGATTTGATTCTGGTAATCTGTTAAGAAATTAGATGTTGCTCTGCTTTTTTCCAGGGAGTTCAAGGTGGGCGTGCAAAGCGCTACTCATCACAGCGTCAGAGGCCTGTCCCAGAGCCTGCTCCACCAGTCCACATAAGCATAATGGAAGGGCATTACTATGACACTTGTGAGTGCACACTGTTCATTAAAAGGACTCTTAGACCTGTTCTGAATTGGGTTTTGCAGTATCGTGGGCTACAAACCATTTACTTAACCTTTTATAAAGCATCTCAAGCACTTGTTCAGAGAAATAAAATTCATGTGTACCAGAATAATGGGAAGAATGAAGAGAAAGCTCCCAATGAAATACTGAATAGGTACTCTTGCTAAACTCACAAGAGGCTTTTGACTCTAGTGAGCTAGAAAATGGATTTCTGGAAGCCTGCTCTTCATTAGAAAACGGCTTGGTTTTTTTAATCTGTTTCACCTGCATCCTGTCTTTAGTCTGACACACTTGATAGAATGTATGGTGCTATCCTGTTTGAGTTTCAGATAGTCCTTCGGTTACGACCACTCGTTCAGTGACCATTCAAAGTTATGATGGCACTGAATGAGGGGGACTTAAGACTGGTCTTTGAAGTTGTGGCCATCACAGTGTCCCCATGGTCACATGATTGCCATTTGGGTGCTTTGCAACTGGTTTGCAATTACAATGGTTGTAGTGTTCCACGGTCACTGATCGCCATTTTCAGCATTCCCTGCCGGCTTCCCACAAGCAAAGCAAATGGGAAAGCCAGCAGGAAGTTGCAAGTCACTCCTGCAAATCATCCCCACTCCCACCGCTTTTTTGCCCACCTGCCCACCCATATTCTGTAGTGCCCATCCGCAGCACCTGCCCACCAGCACTCCATAGCGCATGCCCGCAGCACCTGTCCACTCACCTGCACTCTGTAGCACATGCCTACAGCACCCTCCCACCCACACTCTGTAGCGCCCATCTGCAGCACCCACCTGTCTGCTCATATTCTATAGTGCCTGCCTGTAGCTCTTGCCGCCGGCCTGCCTGAACACCTGCCTCTACCCACTGGTCCTCGCTTAAGAACCCGTACAGTCCTCATTTAATGATGGCAATGGGGACTGCCAGGATTGTCATCACTAAGCAATGCAGTCACGTGGTGTCGCACTTTATGACCGCATCGCTTAATGATGGATTCTGGTCCCAGTTGCCATCGTAACTGAGGACTACCTGTAATTCACAACAGCCCTAAGAAATAGTAACTGATCCATTGTTGACTTGAACCCAGTTTGCTGCTCTAGTTGCTAATGTAATGAACTGTTTAAGAATTATATGTTGTTACTGTTACTCTGCCTGATGGTGACTCTGGGTTCTTTTTACTTCCATCTCAAAGTAATAATGACTAAACTATCAGTATTAGAGGGTTAATGTCTAATGGTTTGTCATTATAGTACAGTTCCAAGGTCCAATTTATACACACGGTGAAAATCCTACCCCACTTCCTCCCCAAGGGGTGATTGTTCAACCAGAAATGCATCTCCCACATCCAGGTAAGGACTGTCTTTTTATAGTTTCTCTTCTCCCCTTCATTTTTCTCTAACACACCCTTAGCACTTAAGTTTTGCTAGCTTGTTGGAGATATCCTCAAATCCCTGTAGTACATCACTTATTTGTGTTGAGATACATTTTGACAAATATATTGTCTGCTGTTAACAAAAAAAAGTGAGATGTTTGTTATTTCTAGTTCATGGTTGCTCTTTGCATTAAAGAAGCTATTAACTTCTATAACTACTAATATATATGAATTCTCTAAGGGGACTGAGGAAGATGGAAAATAGATGCATTTTCTTTCCTCCTTCACTGTTTTGTGGTGTCAAAACTCTTCTGCACTACTATAAAGCTTCACTCACATATACATTGTTAATGCCATAGTGAAGCTTTGGATTCCCGGTGTGCCATTTTGCTGTGTTGCAAAAGCTCTTACAAATATCTAAAAGACAAAATTCCAAAGCAAGTTTTTAAAACTCAGATATGTCATGCAAACAAAAGTTTGCGGGGGGAGGAGGGGATTTTTTTCTGTAAATAGTAGAATGCAACATGAGTTTTGCAAGCTGGGGTGATTTTAATTGAAAGAAAAATAAAACCTATAACTTGAGAAATGTGAGCTTGAATTTAATGGGGGCACAAAGGTGAAGGTGAAAGGGTTTTTTGTAGGGTACTTGATCCTTTGGAAAAGGAGAACTTTCTGAATCATTGGTTTCTCATATTAGATATTTGGAGGCATAGTTTAAATGTTTATCTTTCTGTTTTGGAGAGAGGAGAATCCATACCTATTTCAGATCCTACCTCTGGCAAGGAAAGACACTATCTTTTACTATGCCTATCTGATATTTTTAAAACTTTATTTTCCTCTCTCCTTGGATGCCTTCTTAAAATATAATGAGCTGGCAGGGTTGGCATGCTCCAAGTTCCCTTGATTAAATAATGCCATATGTTGGACCCAGGAAGGATCTGCGTATCATGGCATCTGCCCTCTGGAATGAGATCTCCCTGAGATCCACATGGCTTCCACCCTGATGGCATTTCAGAAGGCCTTCAAGATCTGGCTGTTCTTCCAGGGTTTGGGTTAGGGTGGGTGGGGCCTCTTTGTTGGATGAGTTTTTGTACATGTCCTGTATTGAGTGGCCTGATACCATCTTGGTTATTTATATTGCATTGTACTTTTATTTTGTTTCTTGCTTGGAGATCTTTTGGAGTTGGGCAATGCCTAAATCTAATGAAATAAATAATAAAACAAGAAGAAAGAACTTTTAAATTTATATAGAGTCAGAGGGAGAGATTTTCTCATCCTTCTACTAATCGGGTAGATTGACTTTGAAGACTTTGTTCTCTTCAAGCAAAGAACAGGGATATATAGTATGTGGCTTATTGTAGACATATGCTGCAGTGACTTATTCTCCTTAGAAGTCATATAGATTAATTCTTCTTTTAATTGAGCAGATATACTAAAAATGTTACCTATTCCATCTCTGCTTCCCGATGGCATTTTGATTTCAGAATTTATACTTTATCTGTCTCTGCCAGGATTACATCCACATCAGACACCTGCACCTTTGGCTAACCCTGGCTTATATCCTCCTCCGGTCTCCATGCCCCCTGGACAGCAGCCACCACCACCACCACCACCACAACAATTGTTAGCACCAACCTACTTCTCCCCTCCTCCTGGAGTAATGAATTTTGGCAATCCCAGTTACCCCTACCCTCCAGGAGCACTTCCACCTCCCCCACCTCCCCATCTGTATCCTAACACTCAAGTAAGTCTATTTATGGTTTTGCTTTTAAATGCTGAAATTTTTCTGGACTTTTTGCTGAAAGAAGAAATAAATGAATTGATGCTTTATGGGTTTGAAGATTAAGAAAGATGCAGATCTTCTTAAGGAGGGGATGAGGAGATTTGCAAAATATTTAAGAGGGAGGAAGGGCAATAAGATTGTAATTATCTGTTGAAAAGAAGGTCAGAAGTCATTTATATATTTCTTACCTTTAGTTTTCTTTTTCTTTTCTTGCACTTTTTTGTTTTTCTTCTCTTTTTTTCTTTCTTTTGTCTTTTATTGTATGAAAATTTTTAATAAATATAAATAAAACATTGCTGAAATTTAGTGATGGATGGCAACAGTACATGCTATTGGCTTGTGCTGTTTGTTGGAGTTCTTTAACAGGTCATCTCCAAAATTGGTGATTGATTTTGGTTTGCTTTTTAGAGATACGATTTAATGATGGTCACCCAGTCATCAGGCAAACATAAAAATATATGTTGCATATAGGAAACATGAGAGCCAGTAGGGTGTAGTGGTTAAGGCCCAGACTAGAAACTGAGAGACTGTAAGTTCTGGTCCTGCCTTAGGCATGAAGCCAAGTGGGTAACTTTGGCCCAATCACTTCTTCTGAACTGTAGGAAGAAGGCAGTGACAAACCACTTCCAAAAATCTTGCCAAGAAAACTGCAGGGACTAGTCTAGGCATTCGTCAGGAGTCAACACTGACTCAAGGCACCCCTTCAAAAAAAAATAAAAAGTTGTGGATATACTGAAGTAAATAGTACTTGATGTCGAATTGATAGTCCTGAAGTGAGTGTTAAGTGCACTGATTTTCCATCTGAGCTGAAATGTAGACCACCTTAGTTTCAGCGAGATGCATGCTGGCTGGGGAATTGTAGGAGTTGAAGTCCACACACCTTCAAGTTGCCAAGGTTGAGAAACACTGGTATAGAGAAAAAGAGCAGTTAAGTCTGGTGGATTACAATAATCCAGAAAGGAAATAATTCAGCAATCCTGGTAGCAACTAAAGTATGAAATACATTGTTTCTTAGAATAGACTGTATCCTTAAGAAAATCTTCATGTGCAAGTTTTAATAAAATGTTTGTCTTTCAGTAGGCAGTTCAAAGGTTTTTTAACATATAAGGTTGATATTTTGTAATTTCACAGCTACTAGGTGATGCCTTTTTTAACTCAGTGAGTTTCTAATTCAGTTAATATGTTTAATTCAACTAATGTGTCAATCAATATGTTTTGAATTTCAGTTAATTAAAAATGTATATACAGTTACATTTTGGAACAAACCAATAATTTTTTTTCTTTTTGGATTTGCAGGCCCAGTCTCAGGTGTATGGAGGGGTCACCTATTACAACACAGTCCAGCAACAAGTCCAGCCCAAACCTTCACCACCACGAAGAACCTCCCAGCCAGTCACCATCAAGCCACCCCCTCCTGAGGTCTGTTCTTTCCCCTCTGTCTCTTTCTAGTTTAATTATTGTGTCTGCTTCCACAGGACAAATGCCCTTTACTAATGAGATTGGTTGAACTTTCCACCTGACTGATACGTTGCAAACTCTAGTTTCTTATTACAGGTTGTAAACAAGGTTCGTGTTAACATTTATAAAGTCTTTTGAAGATAAACTTAGAAGTTAAAATCAAGGTCGCTATCTAGATCCTGTTTGACTAAACTAAAAACATATTTTAAAATCCATCTTTTTAATTGCAGCTTCACTGTTTGACAGAATACCTCATAATAAATCTAATCAAACTTTTTTGTGCAGTGTATAAATGTACCACTATTTACTTGGCCTGGCAAAAACTTTGCATTTTTAGTGTTTTAATTTTATCTTTATTTTGTATGTTATTCTTTTCATATGAAAATGTGTGATGCTCAATTACTTCATCAGCACAACATTCATATGTTAAAACATATTGCTCCAAATTGTGTGATAAATACACAGTAAAATGCTTATTGTGAAGCACAATAAGCATTTCCCTTTTTAAAATGTGGGGAAGAGTCTATAGTTCTCCAGAAACCCAGTTACTTTATTTTAGGGCCACAGATTGAGATAAGTTCCTAAAAATTTTTATAGAAAATGGGAATAACTGTATGGTTTTTATCTTGGTTTCTTGACTTAATTTTTTTTTTATGATCAGTTACCCAGTTGAGGATACACCTTCAGATCTTTCATTTGCTTATTTCACATTGAAGTGTTAAATTGAAAGGTAGCAAAAGTTGGAAAAGAACTTATGATATAAGTTATATAATATAACTATTAACTATTCTCTAGATAAATACCGACTAAACTCACAGTTTGTGACTGGGCCACACCATTTCAGACTGAGGCTGGGAGTTTGGTGATGGAATGTTTCTTAAAACTCCCTCCTTCCATGTAAGCAGGTAGAATGTCACAAAGAATGCCGAGTTAAATTGTTCTGCAGGAATATTACTTGTAAGGAGCTCTGGTTAGACACAGTAGTAAAGCAAAGGATATGTGCTTGTGTGTAGTGGCTACTGAAGAGGATACTGTTTGATAAAGGGGAAATGCTTGGGATGTGATCAAGAATTTGATTGGATCTTGGCAACAATAAACTAGGTCTTACACTGATGATTGTTTAGACTAGAGAATAGGAATCCTCTACAGGCCTTCTACTGCATCATGGTGCTGTGGCTAAACCTCCTTCTCCTTTCACAGGAATTAATTCTAAAGCCATTTCAAAGTGTCACTAATCCTTTCAAGTGGCTCCTCTTAGGAGCCGCTTCAGCTGTCTGCTCTCACAGCCAGCTTCATACAACCCACACGTTTTCTACAAAAGGAGTAGGCACGTGGCCAAAGTGGCAGGGAGTCAGTACTTGACTGTGCTCCCAACTCAGCACCTCTTTTGACAGCTACATTTGCCTGATTTGTGGCTTCTTCCTGGGAAAGGTGTCAGGGTAGGTAAGATATTGCTTCAAGAAAGAGTTGCTTCTCCGCAGAGAAGTGTGGTGGGCAAGGGGCTTCATACTGCCAGCTCCAAAGCCATGTTAATGAAAGGGTTCTGTTCTTTTCCCCCCTCTCATTTCTATCTAGGATGGCAGAAATGAAAAATCCAAAGAAAGGAACAACATTTAGAAAATTCTGCATCTTGCTGATTTCAGTAGAGTACCAGAGCTGGCCCTGTGGAAGACAGAAGACAGCTCCTTCGTGGAATCTCTCCTCTCTTTTCCCTTGGTAATGGACGATCCGCATGGGGGCAGATACTTCTGCTAGGCCAGGCCATATCAGTATCAAAACTGAGGCAAGATATCTGTCAGAAGGGTACCAGCAAAATCAGATATCTTTGCATTCCCTTTTTTTTCTGGTATATCGTTCGATGGAAGATTTATCTGCTCGCCGACAGAGGAGCAGTTCTATTTTATTCCTTTCTAAATGTGACAATTTTTAAATGTCGAGCTAAAACTATTCAACGCATCCTTATGTTCGTTTCCCATCCAATGTACCTGTCTCTGCTTTCTTTCTGTTCTGTTTAACTGGTCTTGTTAACTTGAGTTATATAAATTTGTTTTCCTTGGCTGCATTTTTTTCCAACAGTACAATTTTAAAATAAGTCATGCTAGGACAAATTTGTGTTCATTTCTTGGGATTGAGATTATAGTATTATAGGGTATGGGTCACCTTATCTGAAAACCATAATGTTTTCATTTGTCAGCTTTTCAGGAAACAAAACTTAGTTCATAAAGAGACCCAGTGGCAAAGATCTACTTAATATTTTTTCTGAGTTGTTCCCCCATCAAGGCCCAGCAAATAAATCTTTTACATGTTAAGATTAAGCATTTTGGTAGTTGATACCCCACAATAACCTTCAAAGATAGACATTTCATGCTCAAACCAGTCTCTGGTGCATTGTTTAGAAGGCATAAAAGGTATTTGCTCCTTGTACAGTACAGCACCGTCCGTTCTTCAAAGCTCAAATGATGCCTCTCAGACAGTCGTTTTCTTACCTGCCCTTTGCAGCTTACATTTTCCTTGTCAGGCTGCATGGCTTCTACTCACTTCTTGTAATCCCCCTAAACTTTGAATGTACTTCATTTGCTTACAAAACCATACTAGAAAATGACCACCCCATGATTATTTGGGCAGGAGGAAATTGATTGGCATTAAACTAACCTTTGGTGAGGTTTTCAGAAGACATCCTGGATCTGACTGCCCCCCCCCCTTTTTTTTTTTGGTGCATGTGTAAATTCCTGCTTGGGATGTACTGGGGCTTATTATTTTTTTTTAATAATTCTTTTAATTTTAAGAAGCAAACAAGTTCAGTTAGCATTTGAAGAAAAGCCCTGTATGTTGAAAATATATTTGGGGTTTTTTTTTCTGCCTTAACGTTTAAATGTATTATTTTAACATCAGTCTTGAAATCTTAGACCTAAGGACACTGTGATAGCTAATTCTTGTTAATAAATATTTTTTGTTCCTGTTTCCAAAGTGCTCTTTTTGTGTAAATAGTACTGCAACTGCAAAAGATAATACAGGTAGTCCTTGCTTAATGACCACAATTGGGACTGGAATTTAGGTTGCTGAGCAGTGCAGTCATTAACAGAACCATCAAGTGACCTACCCATTTTACGATCTTTTTTGCAGCAGTCATTAAGTGAATCACCATGGTTGTTAAGTGAATCACATGGTTGTTAAGCTAATCATGCGGTTCCCCATTGACTTTGCTTGCTGGAAGCCAACTGGGAAGGTTGCAAATGGCAATTATGTGACCCTGGCATGCTGCAATCTTCATAAGTGCAAGCTGGTTGCCAAGTGCCTGGATTGCATTCATGTGACCGCGGGGGCACTGCCACAGTCGTAACTTTAGCCACTGGTTGTAAGTTACTTTTTTAGCACCATCATAACTTTGAATGGTTGCTAAATGAATGGTCATTAAACGAGGATTACCTGTACATGGTAGATACTCAGTGGAAGCTGGTCCATTAATCTTTCCATCTATCCTCAGCCAGCCCCTGCTTCCTTCCTCCGTATATACAACCAGTCCTCATCATGGTATTAGTTGTCTACTACTACAAGGTGGAGGTACCCCCATATCGGTACTTCTGCCTTGTATCAGCAGGTGGGTGCTTTGCTAAAAAAGCTCATAGTTGTACAGTATAAGATTTTTTAAATCCCCTTAAAACAGAGGCAGACAATCCTTTCCAATCAAAGGCCACATTTAATATTTTTGCAGCTGCAGGGTAGGGGTGGGGAGTTTGGGAATTTTTTTGTCTTTTTTAAACTGTGATAGCCTATTTCAGGTTAATACTACAGTTTTCATCAGTTTCCCACCTCAAAATAGCAGGGAATTATGCAGTTGGTTTTTGGTGTGAAGGCAACTTGAGGGCTTTAGTAAGGGTATGGAAGACTAGCAGAATCCTCCAAATATGCAGACTTCAACTTTTAGAATTATCAGCAGTGGCCATACTGTTTGGGGATTCTGGGAGTTAAAGCCAGATGCCAGGAGAATGCCTACATTGATCTGACTAATGGTTGTTATTATTGGGTTTGGTTCCTGAAGCAGCATTTTTCCTGCCTGGGAGAGATTGGTGAAGGCGAAGCAGCATGGGGTTTATCTTAGTGTGGAATTCAGGGGATAAACAAAAGATGCCTGGGGAATGGTTCTATATTCATTGTGAGAAAGAAAAAAATATTGAGTACTTGGGAAATGTTTTTAAATGAAAGATTTTGCTCTTAGCTATAAATAGTAAACTTGTAAAGGAGTTGGAAGAGCGTTTAACTTCTAAAAACTGAAATGCAAGGCTTGATAGGAGAGGAATAGAAAAGAACTATACAATCTCCCTTAAACCCTTTTTTTAATGGTTGAGTATGTGTGAAAGAGAATGAGGTAGAGATGATACAGGTGATGGGATGTACTCAGACACCAATTAACAGAGAACTTAGGAACATGTCTCTGAGACCATTCTAGCAAGATAATAGTAGGCTTCCTGGACAAGTGTTTTGTTCTAAAGAAAGGCTTTGGGTCAACTGCAGTAATAATAAAATGCAACATATTCAATGCACGTCTGTTTGACTTAAGAAAATCCAATAAGATTTGGATGCCGTAGGTATGAGGAATAAATTTCCATAAGTATCAGCCTTCACATTTTAATTTCAGTTAAGCTGATAGCAGTCTGTGTCAGTTCCTTCCAGCTGGGACTGGGGAAAGGCCTTCCCTCCCTGGCTTCCCTAGCTTTGAGGCTTCCTCCCTTCTCAAGCACAGATGAAAGGAAGACTAATGCCATTGCCAGGGGATACTGTGAGAGCCAACAGCCACCTGAGATCAGGCCAGCCTGCTGCCTAGAAGATGGCTCTGAGAGCACCTATCTTTCTGAAGTTGTGGGTGGGGTGGGAAAGGTGCTCACTGCTGACTGTGATTAGAGCATACATCCCTAATGCTGGCCTCTCTGTAAGGCTACCTTTTTGTACCTAGGGCAATGACCTAATTGTGGAGTCCTTGGGGTTCTCTGACCTTGGTCTTTTCTTGCAAACATTTCATTACCCGGCTAGGTAACATCTTCAGCATTAGCCGGGTAATGAAATGTTTGCAAGAAAAGAACCAAGCTCAGAGAACCCCAAGGACTCCACAGTTCAACCCTGAGCTACACATATTCACCTCTATCAATAACCTAATTAGAAGATCAAATCAAATACTTCATTGCTACCAAAGTCCAGTATCATGCCCAACACCCCCCCCCCCCCACTTCAATCTACAAATATCCAATCAGAAAAACATCGGCGTTCGGGTATGCTGTGTTCACCTGTCGTATCGTGAAGCAATGG